AAGCCTGAGATGCAGGTGGGTCTGGGAGCCTCAGGGAGCACTTGGAGAGGACCTGGAGGGCCCAGGGCAGGTTGGGAGACTCAGGAAGGATTTAGGGAGGATTCAGTGGACTCACGACGGCATTGCTGAAGAGGTCTAGGGAACTTCACGGAGTCAAGGCTGCAGGTCAGCCTTAGCCGTTGATGCCCTTTCACTTGTCCATGGATGATCTGGGGACACAGTCATGCTCCAGTCACTCCTGCTGGCCTCGCCACAAGAGGCTCAGGAGTGTGGGCCCCAGGGATTCTGGTGGCAGTGGATCCTCAGCCCAGTGAGAAGGGTCTGACAGATGACCCAGAGGCCGCTGTGGCAGAGCCATGTCACCCCAAATAAGGAGAGGTGGCACTGACCCCCACCCCCGCCAGAGGTTCCCACACCAGAGACCCACAGAGAAGAGACCTGCAGAGCAGAGGCCCCAGATGAGGGGTCTGCAGCAGAAAGACCCATAAAATAGGGACCTCCCCACCAGGGACTCACAAAGAAGTGTCTGCCCAGGTGAGGCATTTAGTGCCAGGAGACCCAGGGCTGCACAAACAGGTCTGCCCCACTTTTCTCATAAAGCCTCCTGAACTGCGCCTCTGTGCGATGCCCCTGGATGGCGGCATCCCCGGGCCCCTGCCTGCTCTAGGTCTGTCGCTGGTACACCTTTGGTGGGCACAGGGCAGGGGTGGGCGTGCCGGGACAGGCAGCTGCCAGGGGCCCTGCCCCTCCCAACCCTGCCCAGACAGAAGCCCTTTCCTCAGTACCGGCAGACGGGCTGGAATCCTTCAGGAGCGTCTTTAAGTAAACAAAGCACAGAGAAAAGCAAACTCCCCAACACAAACCACATCAAAATAGATTTCTACGTAGAAGCGAGGCCGCCCACAGGGAGCCCTTCAGAGGGAGGCCAAGGGCGTACAATTCCCAGGGTGATGCCCACACTGCCGGGACCCCCAGCTCCAGGCTGCAGCCTCCCTTTCAGGGGTGGGCATGCCAGGCCCATCCACACACCTGGGCAGAAATGGCTGCCATGGGAACCCTCTACTTCCCCTGGGGTCCGTATCCCCGCACCACGGGGGTCCATCAGGTAAAGCTTGAAGGATCCCCTTCCAGCTCCTCCCACCTCTGAGGGTTCCTGTGGGGATGGTCCCAGGGTCCTGTGTGATTGGCAGAGAGAGAAGCACCTGGGCTGGGGGGTGGGGGGCTCTGCTGGGTGGAGGTCTGGGGACCAAGGGACCTACACCCCAGCCCTCCCCCGTGCAGCCGGCAGCCTCCAGACAGGGGTGCACACGGGTGCACGGGTGGGAGAACAATTGGGAATGAATGAAGGATTGGACGGCGTCCCCCCTCCCCCAGCATGCTGGGGGGAGGGGGCCCTCGCACCCCCTCCCTCCCATGGGCTGAGCCCAGCGCACCTCCTGCCCCTGCATTCTCTGGATCCTCCCCTGTGAGGCGGCTCCTGGACATCTCCAGGAGGCCCTCCCATTCCCCACCTCCACACACCGGGTCAGTGCTTTTGACGTCCCAGGGCTCAGGGGGTTTGTTCTGAGGGTCAAGGGACCGTCTACATGACGAGGCCCTGGCCAGCCCCCAGGATACTCAGTGCCTTTCTCAGGCACAGAATTCCCAGCGCTCCGAAGATCTTTTGAGACGAGAAAGCCCCTGTCCTCGCCCCTACCACTCTTTGAGACAAGCCAGGAAAGGTGTCATGGTGGACGTTTGTGGGTTTCCCCGTGTACAGGTGGCCTTATCTCTGCCACAGGGGTCCAGCGGGTTGTCTGCAGGACAGACGCCCAGGGCAGGGATTGCTGAGGCTGGTCCGGCTGGGATCGGGGTCTGGGCCCACCCTGCAGGTCCTGGGAGCATCCTGTGGGCTCTCTCAAGCCTCGCCTGACCCCAGGGAGTGCTCACACCTGTGGCGGGGGCCCACCTGGCCCATCTCTCAGCACCCTTTGTCCAGCTGGCCCTCAGCAGCTGGGGGTGGTGGTGACAGGAAAGCAGGATGGAAGAAGGGACAGATAGCATTTCCCCTGGGGCAGAGGGGAGGCCCTGGAGGCTTCACTGGGGAGGACCGCTGACCCCAGTTCCTGCAGGGCCAGCCCAGGGTCTCCTGATAGGACAGGACGTCTCCCTGCAGACGTTTCCTGTCTGCAGACAGAGAGAAGAGGGAGGATAGACTGCGCATCCAGTGTAGACAGCACTGGGTGTAGGCAGCTCTGGGTTTGTGACTGGGCTGCAGAAAGAGAGAGCTGGAGCAGGGAGATCCCCTAAGGACTGTTAAAGGAGTGGGGGGATACAGCTAGGGCCAGGCCCAGTCACCAGGGCCAGTGACCCCAAAGACCCCCCTCAACCTGGGAGGGAGGGCTTCCCGAGAGCCCCTTGCTGATTTATGGTCCTCCAGGGGGAGGGGAGTTATGGCTGCAAAGTCCTTGCTCCCTCCTCCTCTTCCTCCTTGTTGGGGGTTGGCAGGCTGGGTGGGGTGGCTCTCAGCTGGTTTCCAGATGGGCCTGGTGGAGGGGGTTCTGGGGGTGGAAGGTAAGGGGACCTGGAGGTGTCCTTGGGCGTCTGTAGCTGCCTTTGTCTCTGAGGTTGTCTCTGTCTCTAGGCCTGTCTCTGTCTGCCTCGGGCTCTGTCTCTGTCGCTCGAAGCCCCCCTTCTCCATGGCAGCACCGGTGGGTGGGGGTGGGAGCTGGTGATTTATCACCCGCTGCCTGTCCTCCATCGGAAACGCTGGGGGTGGGCGCAGACTCTGCGCTGAGCTATGGGCCCCCAGGGCCCCGCCACCCACGCCAGTGTTGTTGCTCCGTCTGGGCGGCGCGCCCACCCCCCATCATGGCCAGGGCTTGGCCCCCAGCCCTTCCCAGGGCCTCGTCCGCGTGGGCCCCTCGAGTCCAAGCCCAGCGAGCGGCCGGCCCCTCCGCAGGCAGGAGGCGCCCACTGGGGACCCGCACTTCGCCGCCAGGTTGGTCAGGAGGTGGCGGATCCCATGTCCCACTCCCTGGGCATCCGGGAGCCAGCCAGCCTCTCACGGTCCCCTCCACGCGGTCTCGCAGCCCCCGTCCGCCCGGTGCACACAGCAGGGACTCAATAAGTGTTTACGGAGCCAAAAAGCGGTGGAGGGCGGAGGGCTTACCTGGGCTGACCATCCCCCCAACTCCCCTCCGGCGGAAGAGGTCCCTTATCTTCCCTGCGACCGGCTGTCAGCGCGCGGCGGGGGCGGGGGTGGGGGCGTCCCCTCGTTCTCCCTCCCCGCCCCGCCCCCACGGCCGCGATCTGCGGACCCCGGGGCCCGCCCCCTCCAGCCTGGGCAGGTCCTGCTCTGAGCACCGCTCCCCGGCGAGCCTGGTGTCTCTGCGCCCTGCGCCCCTCCGCCCCGGGAGCCCTGCACAGGCTCTCCTGCAGGTCGCGAGCGCCCTCTGCTGCCGGGCTGGGGTCGCGCGCCCGGGGAGGACGAGACACAGGCATCAGCCCATTTCAGGGATGAAAACACCGAGGCTCCCCGCGCAGGTCAGGGTTTTGTCTAACTGCGCCGCCGTCTGGCCCTGCCGGGGCTCACTCTATGCAACCCCTCGGTCGTCGCTCACTAGCCAGGATGTGGTCTGAGCCCCGGGGCAGTCTTAGGGTCCTGCACCACCTGTCTGGGCAGGGCAGGGCCAGGACACGCCCTGCTGAGGACATGTTGAGTGGAGGCCTTGAATAGTTAGGACATAGAGCAGGAAAGTCATGCCTGCCTTGGGAAGGGCTTGGCCTTGATCTAAGGCTGGGGGTCCTGGGAGCCACACCACTGGCCACCCCCCTACCCCCCGGGAAGCTGGGGGGCCAGTCTGTGGTCAGAGGATCCTGGGGCTGCAGGGCAGGGGGCCCTGAATCAGCCAGCCTGGGGGCTGCAGGTATGAGGGGTTGGCAGAGCTTTGAGTGGACCCTGACCTGTTCCCATCTGGAAGGAGTCTGAGGCCCCAGAGGGGACCAGCCTATCAGTGGGGAAGGGACCCTGGGGCAGGTGTGTCATCCATGAGATGGAGGACAGTGCTGGAGGGAGGGGCACCATAGGCCCTGGAGCTGGGGGAGGGGTGTCCACTCCTCATTCAGGGTCCCTGAGCTGGGACTGTTCCAATTCCCCACACTCTGGAGGCTGAGGCCCCAGGGTTCGTGTGTGGAGGGTCAGCTTAGGGTCAGGATTGGGACTGGGGGCTCCAAGTAGGCTGGGCCAGGTCAGCCAGCGAGGCCAGGCCGGCATCCCCCTGTGGTCAGTACCTTGGCCGGAGCCCATCAAAATCATGGAGAACTGGCAAAAGGGAGGGGCAAGCCTGGAGAAACCATGTGGTTCCACTGCCCCGTTGTCCGAGTGGGAAGTTCTTCCTTAAGTCTGACCACACTGTGTTACCAGCCTTTTCCCTCTTTCAAAGAAGCTCCAGTCTTCTGCATCTCCTGGCCCTCGGGGCCCTCATGCCCACCCACTCAGCAGGACACTGGCCGTGGAGCTGGGCTCCTGCTCACCACTTCTCACAGCTCGTGCTGGGACCTTGTCCCATGGCCCAGGGGGGCCTCCTTCTCTTAGCTTGGGGTCACCTAGGACCCCAAGGCCACTTTCTCTGGGCCCTGCATTTGCCCCCTAAAGTCCTCAGTGAGGAGGAGAGTGGGTCCCAGGGGCCTGGTTTCAGCTCTGCTCCCAGTGCAGCCATGGAGAAAGCTCTGGGGCCCAGCAGGGAGACCCGCTTCTGGGATCTGGTTTCCTCCTCTAGAAAGTAGGGGTGACACCCGCTTCCTGCACCACATTGGGGCTGAATTTAGGGGGTGGCCTGTGGACCTTGCTCTGACAATGACTGTTACCTCTGACCCACACCAGGGGCTCTGGGACACTCCCTGGGGGAGGTAGGGTGGCAGTTTATTTGTACAAAAGGGGCCGCTGTCCCAGATGTGGTGATAAGGCTGGATGGACGGCCAGACAGTCAACTGCAGCCCACAATGGGCCGGATGCCATGCACCTGCCCACAAAGGAGGGGGTGGCTCCTGCCTCACGTCCCACCGGCAGCCCTGAGATAGCATCAGCCTGACCGGAGGGCCATCTGTCTTGTCCCACAAAGGCCAGGACAAAGGCCGTGTCAGTGGCAGCCTCCCCGACCCGGTCAGAGGAGCCGGGGGCCTTCCTGTGCCAGGCAGCTGGGGCTCAGGCCCGAGGCTCCTTCTCAGGGTCCTGTTTGGGGTGAACAGCAAGCAGCCTTCATTGTTCACAGGGCCAAACAGGTGGGGGCCACACCTAGGGCGGGAGCAGGACCCCAATAGTGGGAAATGCATCAGCCCCTCTTTGGGTCCGCCAGGCCCTCATTAGCAGCCTGAGCCTCACTGGGACACCCACAGAGGATTTCCAGGCCCTGGTGGCTCAGCCTGGATCCAGGGCTGGGACGGGGAGACAGGGACTGAGAAACAGTCAGAGGTGCTTTCCTGCAGGAGGCGGCGGCTAGGTGGAGGACACAATTCAGAGACCTGCAACCCCAGGTGCCTCCTCACCCCTGCAGGGAACTTTACGTGGACCCCAGCTCACAACGCTCGCTCCCTCCTCACCTGCCCTCCAGAACTTCTCTCTCAGATGCCCGGGAAGCATCTGCTGGGCCACCCGACCGCCCTCACCATCCCCAGTGCACCCCTGATACCCTGAAAGCTGCCTGTGTGGCGCAGTCACTGCCTTCAGGGAAACCTCACACCCTGGACTGTCCTCAGAGCCCCCTGGAAGACCCTCACTGCCTCCCGGAAACCGCCACTCTGAGCATCTGCTCTTTCTGGCAACTACACTTCCTGTGGGGTCCTCACCGTCCCCACACTGTCCTGTCCAGTGTCCTCACTGCTCCACAGCGTCCTCACTGTCCCCTCTGTCCTCACTCCCGCCAGTGCGGGCACTGTACTTCCAGCTCTTCTGTGCCTTCTCACTAGAACTTCTGGGAGAGTCGGTGGCAGGTGAGTTCACTCCTAGACCTTGCGCGCACCCCAGAAGGTGATTTTGAGTGTATGAACATGCGATGTGTCCCCTTGAATCATCCCCGGAGCTCTTTCTGGGTTTGAGGGGGGGATTCCGAGTCGCACGGTGCAGAGATAGGTCGGATGGAGAGCAGGGTTTATTCGCACTGGAGATGGCGTGGGGGGCTCGACTGGTCTGGGCAGCGGCTCGCCCCGGGCCCGCTTCGGCATCCAGGTCCAGGGGGTGCGAGCGTGTCGCCAGCGGTGCGCGCGCAGCAGTGGGGCCCCTGCGCGCGGCCGCGGTGGGGGGAGCGTCTGGGAGATCGTGTGGGCGGAGGATGCGGCCGGAGCGGGGGGCCGTCCGTGGGCCGGCCGCACGGCTCAGCGCCAGTCGCTCGGCTCGGGGGTCGCGGGCTCCTCCGCCAGCGGGGTAGTCAGCGGCCACCGGCGCGCGGCGCGGGCGCGCAGCCTCCGCAGGCGGCACAGCAGCAGCGCCAGCAGCAGCGCGTGCAGCAGCCCAAGGCAGAGTAGCAGGAGCTGCGCCGCTAGCGCCCCGCGGCAGAGCGCGCCAGGCGGGCAGGCGGCGCGCAGCTCCTCCTCCGCCAGGTAGGACAGCAGGCGGCCCCGTAGCGCGGGGGGCGCGGCGCAGCGCAGGTCGCGGTAGGGCTCGCGCTCCAGCCGGCCTGCCAGCCAGGCGCGCAGCGGCACCAGGTGGCAGTCGCAGCGCCAGGGGTTGGCGCCCAGGTGCACGACACGCAGCACCGGCAGCGCGTCCAGCAGCCCTGGTGGCAACGCCGTCAGGTTGTTGCCCGTCAGCACCAGTTCTGTCGTATCCGGCGGGAAGGCGGCCGGCAGCGAAGCCCACGTCAGCCCGCGGCGCCCGCAGTCCACGCGCGTCCCCGCGCAGCGACACGGGGCTGGGCAGCCAGCGGCCGGGCGGCCCGGCGGCGCGAGCAGCAGAAGCATTAGGCTCAGCGCCCCGCGCGGCCCTGGAAGGGAAGCGCCGCGGTGAGCCCGGCCCTTGGGGCTCCTGGGCGGGGTCCCGGGGCACCCGCGTGCCCCCCATCACCCGCGAGCCTCTCCACCCCGACAGCCCGGCACACTGGCTGGAAGTGCCCTCTAAGTCTGACCCAAACCTCTCCCGACTACAGCCCAGAGGACAGAGCACCTCCGCACCGGACTCTACTCAGGGAGCGGCCTGGCCCGGGCAGACCCCAGACTCACCGGAGCCCATGGCGAGAGGACAGCGGTCCAGCTAGCTCTGGAGCGCCAGGCAGCAGCCGCAGAACCGGGCGATAAAGCCGCCCCGCCCCTGCCAGTCCCCGGCGCACCCGCCGAACCGACCACAGCCCCGTCGCAAATAACCAGTAGGCCAAGCCGGCAGCGCAGATAGAGCACTATCGCCAGGCTGCCGGCCGACCCGGCTTCCGCCCCACTCGCTCCCAGGGGCGCACGGAGCACTCGGACACCCTCTTCGACGTTCACCAACATTGTTCTCCTGTCACCAGGACAGGACGCAGCATTCACAACTGAACAAACTGGAGAATGGGGCTTGGGGGCAGGGACCATGCGGGTGGAGGGATGGGGGACCAAGGGCTCAGGAACCCGGGGCAACAGTGCTGCTGCGGGGAACAGGCCTCCAGCGACCAACAGGGAAGGGTGGTCCAGGGATGGGGGTTGCCAGTTTGCCCACCACCCACTGCTCCTGGAGCCGGGCCATGGCCATGCGGGAGGGGCGTAGGCATTTACAAGCATCCCAGCCCCATTATTCCTCCCCAGCAGCCAACTGGCCTCCTAAGGTCTGGAAGGATCCTAATTGCTTCGGCTGTCCAACCTGCCCGCTGAGCTACCTGGTGAGTGGGTGAGGAGGTAAGAAGGACCTGGCCCACCTCAGCACAAAGTGAGGGCTCCCAAGTTCACTCTGCAGCACTGGGCAGGGAATAGGCCCAGGATCCTGCGGACCTGCTCCCCTATTCTGCCTTGGTTTACCCGCCCATCTGAGTAGGGCCTGGAATCTAAGTGCTGTGACCTTCTGGGTTGGGGGGAGATCTCAGAAGTCACCACCCAACTTAGCTCCTGCTCCCCCAAGGCCAGAGAGGGCTGGTTGTGGGGGCCATTGTCCAGGCCCCTTGGAAGCAGACACAAATGACGGGAGGGGCTGATGCTGAGAATAAATTAGGGCTGGCTGGGGGCTGCGACCCCGCGTCTCTGGGTCAGTTCAGGAACAGTAGGGAAAAGTCCAGGTCTGGGCCACTCTGGAATTGGGGCTGTGTCCAGGCCTGTTAGCGATCCAGATGAATCCGGTGTCGAGTCCAGGCCAGTCGGGGTCCAGGGGTGGGAAGGGCCAGCCTGGAAACTGGCAGTATATCCATGGAGAAGTGGGGCTGGGGCGGGGTCACTGGTCCTGCATTTGCTGCTTCATTTTCTGCAGCATCTCCTGCATGCGCCTTAGCTGGGGGCGGGGCAGGAACAACGGTGGGTGGGGTGAGAAGTGCGATGGGCCGGGCCTGGCCCTGTCCCCGCCCCCAGCCCCTGCTCCTCTCCTGCTGCCTACCAACCTCCTCATCCTTCATCCTGATGAGCTTCTCCGTCTCAGCATCGGGGGTTGGCAGTGGCAGGATGGGGATGGGGCTCTCCATGCGGCTGTCCTGTGTCAGTTTGCTGCAGGGTGGACACCGGGGATAAGCTGCTGGGGGCTGGGCTGACCCTCGATACGCTGTGGCTCCCACACCTCTGGGTGGGGGTCAGGGCAGGTCCGAGGGCGGGTGGGTCACGCACCTGGTCATCTGCTGGATGCAGTGCGCTCGGTAGTTCTCGTAGTGCACGTCGCACGTCACGTCCTTGAGGTCATGCATGTGTGTGCGGATGAGCATGTTGCGAAGCTTCACGAAGTCGCAGTGTGCCTGGTTCTCCACTGTGGGCAGGGGCGGGCGGTGGGTGAGGTGCCGGCCCAGGGGAGCCTTCCCACCCAAATGCTGTGCCCCAGGCCTCGACTCACCCTCCACGATCCCCCAGGGGTACAGACGCCCCCGGACCCGCTGCCCCTTGGCCTCCACCACCGTGTTGCTGCCGATAACAGCGAAGGGTGCGCTCTCCTGGGGGGGGGCAGGTGCAAGGGCTCACTCCCAGTTAGCATGGGTGTGGGGTCAGTGGTGGGAGAGGGGCATGGGCACTAAGCGCCTGGCCCGCCCCTCCACAATGACCATCAACAACCTCTCCCCAAAGAGACCCTGTTGTCCCCACCTCTGGCCTCTCTGTTGCCAGCTGAAGCCAGAACTGGTGCAGCTTACACCTTAGGGCTTTTGCTGGGCCGTGCCCATCAGAGGTACCCCCCCCTCCTGATATCCCCATCACCAACAGCCACTCCATCTAGTGCCTCCCCATTCCTTTCCCAGGGCAGAGCCCATGCCTCCCGTTAGTGATACCCCTGCTGACTTCGGGGTGAAAGGTCCACCCTGCTCCTGGCTCGGTGGCCACCTGTCCCCAGCTTGGGCCTGCCATCACCACTCTAACCCCCGGGGCACTCAAAGCCACACCCCCTCCCCCCGGAGCTCAGAATTCTGGGAGGCAGGACATGCACAGGCCTGGGGCCATTGGACTAGGCCCTTCTGTGGGTGAAGCATGGCGAGGGGGCTGAGAGAAGGGCCAGGGTGGGGGCCTGGCCAGTGGCTGTGCCTTTAGATCCTGGCAAGCATTCCATGACCTATTAACTACATGGGGACCCAACTACACAAGCCAGCGGGGGACCTGGGCCGCCCTAGCCCCAGCCCCAGGTGAAGACTCTACGGCCTGGACGAAACACTCCTGCCCCCCAGGTCAGACCTGGGCCCGGGCCCTCCTCCCGACCTGGTGTAAAGTGGCCTCTGGGTCCCTTACCCCCAGTGCGCTGCAGCCTCACCTTCAGTTCCCGGTCCTGCTGCTTAAAGTCCTCGTCCTCGTCCGAGTCACACTCAGGAAACTGGTAAACGTGGATCCCAAACTTGTCTATCTCCTCCCGGATCTGCGGCAGGCAAGGGCCATCAGGTGAGGGGCTGGTGCCCTTGGCCCCACCAGAGTCCCGGCTGCGCCCCGCGGCCGCACAGGCTCACCCGCTCCTTCAGCTTCCGGATCTCACCGGGGATGAGACAGTCGGCTTTGGCAATGAGGGGCACGATGTTCACCTTCTCGTGCAGGGCTTTCATGAAGCCCACGTCCACTGGCCGCAGCCTGTGGAGAGCAGCCAGGGCGAGGGGCTCATGGGGTGGGGGTGGTGGGAGGGGGCGCCGCAGGGATGGGCAGGACCCGCACCCCTGGCCCGGGGTAGCCACCTACCCGTGCCCAAAAGGGGAAATGAAGTACAAGCAGCAGTGCACACGGTTGTCCTGGATGTTCTTGCGGTTGAGGCCGCTCTCGTCCCGGAAATACTGCTCAAACTGCTGGTCCACGTAGTCGGTGATGGGCTTCCAGCTGGGGGCAGGGGGCACATGAGGCCAGGCTGGTGGCTGGTGGCCAGGGGCCAGGGCAGACCGGGCAGGCCTTCCTCACCACTCAGAGTTGTTGACGGCGTCCCCGAAGCCTGGTGTGTCCACAATGGTGAGCTTCAGCTTGACCCCCTTCTCCTCAATGTCCACCGTGTGCTTCAGGATCTCGACCGTCTGGCTGATGCGCTCTGTGGCAAGGCGGGTGGGGGGACAGACCCTCACAGACCCTCTGTGACCCTCACTCCCACCCCGGGCAGCCCAGACCCTTGTTCTCATCCCTGGCTATGTGGCCCGGCGGTGATCTGGACCCTGAACGGGAGACCCATGCTTCGGGGACAGAGGAGCAGGGCTGGACCTGGAAGGAGCCCTTGGAGAGGTCACCCAGCAGGGGATGGTGGCAGCGCCAGGGCCGCGTGGGGCCCACTCACCCTCAGCACTGAGCAGCTTCCGTTCCTTGTACAAGTCAGTCAGGAAGAGGCTGTGGACCAGTGTGGACTTCCCCAGGCCCGACTCCCCTGCCCACAGGTGCAGTGAGGAAGTCGGGTCAGGTCCCAGGCCCCAGACAGAGCCTGGCTGCCAGTGCCCCACCCCACGCCCTGGAGGCCGGCCCACTCACCCGCCACCATGAGCGTGAAGTCGAAGCCCTTCTTCACAGACTTGCGGTGCACCTGATTGGGCAGTGTGGCGAAGCCCACGTACTGCTTGTCGATGTCCTGGCGGGGGCGGGCGGGTCAGGGGCATGCTGGGGTTCCTGGGGCAGCCCGGTGCCTTGGCCCCTACCCAGCTCAGGCCAGGGGGCAGCAGGGCAGGGTCCCCAGGGAGGGGGCATCTCAATGGCAGAAGTGGGTGAGGGCCTGTGGGCAAAGGCCCTGGAGGTGGAAGGCAGGTGGGGGTGGAGGGTGGAGGCGCCCGCGAGGGCTTCGCAGGGACCGAGATGGAGTCTGTGTGCGTGTGGAGGGGGGTGGCAGGCACAGCGGGCAAGGCGGTGTCCCCCCTTAGGTGGTGGGCAGAGGGCACCAGGACCCAGACCCCTCACACACGCCCAAGGCCCTCAGAGGCTGGAGAAGCCCCCACCTCAATACTCACCCCTCCCGAGTGTAAGGGGTGGGAGGCCCCGTCTGGCCCCGATCCAGCCGCGGGGGTGGCTGGCTGCTGCGACGGCGGAGCAGGGGCTATTTATAGACAGCGGCGCCCAGCCTCCCGCGGCCTCCGGCGCCCACCCCAGGACCCCGGCCCTGCGGCTCCCGTCGCATCCCCAGTCCGTGCGCTGGGGGCGGGCGCACAGCTGACCCACCTTCCGCTCCCCTCTCCACACACACCTTGAGCCGCCTCTGGGCCTGGGTCCGCGGCGACAGCAGCTGCTCCACCAGGCGGTCCTGGGGTGCCGCCAGCGAGTCCATCGCAGCGACCCCGGGACCTTGCCCGCTGCGCTGGGGCCCAGAGTGCGTCAGGCCCACCCGGCGTAGCTGTGCGCCAGGGGCTCGCGCGCTGTGCGGCCCCGAGGCCCTGTTCTCGCCCCCGGGTTACGGGTTACGGGTTACGGACGCGGGAAGCGAAGCCCGGAGGGGCGGCGCTCACGCGATGCCGGGACCCCGAGGCCACCAAGCCGCTCGCCGGCCCCAGGCGGGCCTGCCCCTGGCACAGGCGGGCCCTCGCGCCGGAGAGGAGCGCGCGGTCTCCGGGAGACAGTCGCCTGGAAATTGGGCCGCGCGGGCGGAGCCACGGAGCTGAGGAGGGCAGGGCCCAGCTCGGCGGGCTGGCGGGCGGCTGCGCGCGGAGCGGCGCGGCTCAGGCCGTCAGTCCAGCGACTGCACAGCCGGGTGGGCGGGGGACCGGGTCCACGGCCGGGTCTGCGCTGCCGCGTCCCGCCTGCCAGAGGGCGCCCGAGTACGCCCCCATCCACGCGTGCGCCCGCGGGAGCCCGCCCGGTCCCCCTACTCTCCC